TGATTGACAGCAAGGTACTTACATCATCTCCTACACTGACCACCAAATGTTTCTCGACCTCAGGACTTCCCAGACAGAACCAACAGGGACCCTTAATGGGAGCTGGGAACGAAAATACAAAATATAGATGAACTGTTGCAAAGGTTTAAAAATTGTGAGTGTGGTCCCCTTAAGCATTACAGCGTGACTCACAAAAGCGTTGTACGTCATGCAATTGAGGCCATAGGAGATAGGAGACAGGTAACGTTACGGAATGTCACAAAGTCTTTCTCCTCTGGGAATAATTTTATAGCATAACAGGCCTTATTCGTATTCTCGGTATTGGACTGGAACTAGCTTGCAATGGAGGTTCACGCGGGGGAATACCATTAAAAAGAGATTAATGTCATTTGCATTTGAAAAGACTCCCCGAATTAGGCTCGCTTGCAAGCTAATTCCACTCCAATACCGAGAATTCGTAAAGGGTATATAGACCCTTTTCATAAATGGCTGCCAATTATAAATTCTTTTGTAAGTACAGTGGAACCTCCCTTAAGCGACCACCCAAAATGCCAAGCCTAAGTTGTCGTTTACGGGAGGTGGTATTGGGTCAAAATTTGGCCTCATTAGCATATGGTAATTTTAAGACATTTAAGGTCGTCTCTTTCAAGACTGATCAGAGTACAGTGTATGTGTATTTTTTCTTTAAATTTTTAAGTTTTATTCATGTGAATTGTGACAAGTCAAAAAAAAAACGGTACTTCTCATTCTACGGTACTTCTATTGTTCTACCCAGGAATGCCATAATGTTAAAACACCTTATCATACAATTTCTGCTCTATTATTTGTCTAGCAGTCGCTTACGGAAGGTTAAAAACAAAAGAAAATTTCAACTTTTAGCTCTAAAAGTGGTCGCGGTCGTTTACGAGACGTGGTCGCTTACGAGAGGTTCCAAACATAGTGATTTGGCTCGGAAACGTTTGGTATTTTGGAAAATTGGTCGCTGAGAAGAGGTGGTCGCTTACGAGAGGTGGTCGCAACCGGAGGTTCCAGTGTATTACAATTAGCCTGACTAACCTGGTTTATGAGTTGATAATTCAAAAGAATATTTACTCTCAAACGAGTTTAGTGAGGCTAATTTAAATACATACAAAAGAACTTAAAATTGGCAGCCATTTATGAATAGGGTCTATTATTCGTAATATTGGACGGTTCTTACGTGGTCCTTTGCGGTGTCTTGGCTGTTTATTTGGGCCACCATCTTCACCACCTGCATGCATGGATATGATAAAGATCGATCAGTGAAGTATTACAAGTAAACATGTAAAAACATCAAGTGGATTTACGTTCCAAGTTAAACAGCTGATCCGGGCACGTTCTTTAGCACAGGTCACGAGGAATAATGATTGCCTTCAATCACTACTGAAGTTGAATACGCGAAACAAAAAAAAAATGTTTTTACCCAAATTTAACATTTATGGTTCGTAAGTTAAGGCAATGAGGCTGTCAATGAGGCTGTCAAGTGGAAAGATTCTTAAAGATGATTTCCAGTCCGTACTACGCCCTCTCGAGAGCTTGTCTACGTTTTCTGTTTTGACTCGTGTAAGACGTCACAAAATGTAAACATTTCGCAACTACTTACATGAAGTAAACTCAAAGTTTCATGTCAACCGCCATTATGGATGCGAAGCGTTATGCTTCGTTCTTTCTCATATCACTTGATAAAACAACTTCGCAGCTGTAAAAATCAATGAGGCTGTTGGAAAAAGAATTTGAAAGGCCTCAAAGATAAGGTATGTGTTTCGTAACGAATAGCATCGATCGCATTCCATCGAGTGAGACTTACAATGTTTATAAACATTAGGGTGCCGAGACTGCGCAGTACGGACTAGAAATCGTCTTTAAATCCTGGCATGCTGCAATGGATGCTCATGTTCATGACATAAACATAACGAACCTTTTCCAAAAACAATAGAATATCCTAATTGATAACAATATACCTTTTTTTCCTGCGAATCATAATTATGCATGCTACATGTACGTGCACTTCTTGGTTTCTTATCACACCCTTTTTAGTCATTTAATTAGATCTTAGTTAAGCGTGACGCGTGATGCGTGACAACTGAGAAGTGATGCAGCGTTGTCTCATTCTCTCGCGATTTTTTTCGCGTCACGCCAGAAAGGCGTGATCGTTGCCCACTGCTTACCATGATAGTCCCTGTGTCGTTTGTTTCCAGGT